CCTGGAAACCTTTTAAGGTAAACTTAGAGGGAGGAGAGAGGAGATTTTATAATTTCATAGTTTTAAACGGCCTAAATACCTTAACTCGCTTAGAAAATAACGAGCTATAACGAAATGGGCACAGAAATAAAATCTAACATCATTAAATTATTTTTCCTATTTGTATAAAAGCGCTAGGTGAAACCCGCGGGTATAAGCTAGTATATAGATAAGGAACAGCCGTGCGTAAATCACGGTTTCCGAATGAATTTCAGTTTTTTTTTGCAAAAGTATAAATACATATGTATCTTTTCCTGTCGTAAATATATCGATGGCCCTGTACAATAACTACACAATTCAAAATTCAAAGAATTAAAACTCGTACTATGGTTAAGTGGCTCATGTCTTTAATTGTTGTCTTATTCATGTATAAGATTTACAACTTATTTAAGTTAGGATTAGATATGGGTTAGCCAAGGATTAGAGACATGAGTCTCTTAACAGTAATAAGGGATTTGATTTTTTGAATTTTGAGTTGGTCGTTATTGCCGAGGACCATCGGTATGTGAGTTCATATATTTCGATAATGAAATAAATTCAAGCATAAATACGATTTTTAGTTACATATACATATGTAACACAATTTCAGCGCATATTTTTTTCGAAAGAATTCTTTTTCCTGTTATCAATACATATTTGGAATCTGAGGATAATCGGACCATAAACACGATTTTTACTAATAACTCGACTCCAACGCCACTTGGCGGCTCTTTTTTTTGCAATGGTTTTGTTTTTCTATTGTCAATACATATCTCAAGTATGAGGCGCATCGGACCATAAATACGGGTTTTACTAACAACTCGACTCCAGCGCCACCTAGCGGTTGTTTTAATAGTTATTCTGTTATTCGGAAGGTAGACAAATTCAAAAAACAAATATCATAAAAATCGGTCCAGCCGCTCCTGAGTTATAAATGGTGTAACTAACACGACTTTGTTTTATATATAAAGATTTATGAGATTGAAAATGAAAAGCGTGGGGCGCATGCAATACAAAGCATTAGATTTCATTGACAATAGTAAAACTACATAACATAGACCTAAAATTTCTACAGAGAAAGTACAAATTTGAGATCCATTTTAAGCGGTCGTTATTCATATATCCACATACATACATATACTACCCCTCATATGAATTCGGTATATTACATGCGCCCCACGCTTTTCATTTTCAATCTCATAAATTGTTTATAATGACTTTTGCTAAAATTTCAAAATTAAAAGTTATGAAAACAATTTCTGTGGGACGAGAATTATTATTTTCAACTTTTTAGTCCATTTATAAAAGCGTTGTATATTAAAAAGTTTTTTTTTATATACATATAAATAATTTATTTTCTACTTTTTAATTTTAATTCAACGATATTAATAGATTTGTGCACAAACATGTATATACATTAGCGAGGGCCGAAAATCCGCTTTTTTAGAATTTTGATAGGTAATAGCAAAAATATGGTTCACTATGCTCTAACAACAATCTGTGTGAAATATGACAACTTTTGGTAAATATCTTAGCCTCGCCCAAGTCCATCAAAGTTCAATATGGCCAAAAAATAAACATTAATAAATAAATTAAGTAATACATTTTTTTAGTAAAATTGCAATAATCTTCGAAAGTATTAGTCCCACATAATTAGGTATATGGAGCTTTTTTGTAGAGAACCGAAGTTAACTAAGAAATTTTATTTTTGAGCTTGAACTTTGATGGACTTGGGCGAGCCTAGGATATTGACCAAAAACTTTCACATTTCACACAGATATTTTTTAGAGCATAATGAACCATATTTTTGCTATTACCAATCAAAATTCTAAAAAAGCGGATTTTCGGCCCACGCTAATATACATATGTATGTACATACATACGAGCAACAATTAATTTCATTTAAAGAAATGGGGTGTCGTCCATTTCCGCTGTAGCGTACGTAGTGAATACGGCGACATCTACCTCTCGAATGAACGAGGTTGATGTCTAAACTTAACACGAACTTTGCAAAGCAAAGCTTTTATAGCTGTCTGGACCCACAACATTGCAAGTTGATAAAAGCGTTGTACAAACTTTGAGATCGATTTAGAGCGATCATTATTCATATACCCAGCAGCTTTGTTGTTTTTCAGCCGCGTTGTTGCTATTCGTTCTTCACTGGAAGGGGTTTTTACGTGGCGGGTCCCAAACCCAGCGCACAATCCATTGCTGGGTCGGGGGTGGTTTCGCAACCAAATACATGTTTATATAGCGAGCCGCTTGCTCCAAGCAGACACCCGCTTGCAGCCGCACCTACTGGTGAACAGACGCTACAGACTTCAGTGAGCCCTTAAACCGAATAAGTCGGAGTGGCCCCACCGAAGCTCCCTCTCTTTCTGCCGTGTCCCAAGGCTCCACTCGGATTGGTTACCGCATCTTACACATGGATTGCTCACGTTGCCCAGAGTGCGCGAATGAGGACGGTAGAGTCGGGATTGATGATATCCATGCAACTGTAACTGCATATCCAGCGCAACGACTATACCCCATTGCACTCCAAACAACAAAGCTGCTGGAGCTGACAGCCTGCCAGCTGAGCTATTCAAGTACGGCGGCGAGGAGTTGATAAGGTGCATGCATCAACTCTTGGTCAGAATATGGACTGGAATTTAAGTGTGCTCTGCCCAATCCAAAAGAAAGGTGATCCCGCAATTCGCGCCAACTACCGCGGAATCAACCTTCTAAGCATAGGTTGCAAGGTCTTATCGAGCGTATTGTGTGAAAGACTGAAGCCAGTGTGGCTTTAGACCTGGCAAACCCACCATAGATCAGGTATTTACAATACGCCAAATCTTGGAAAAGACCCGCGAGAAAAGGATCGACACTCACCACCTATTTTTCGACTTTAAAGCCGCTTTTGACAGCACGAAAAGGAGATGCCTATACGCCACTATATCTGAATTTGGCATCCCCTCAAAACTCATACGGCTGTGTAAAATGACGTAGAGCAATACCACCAGCTCCGTCAGAATTAGGAAAGACCTCTCCAAGCCGTTCCAAGCAGACAGGGCGACTCCATGTGACTTCTTTAATCTGATGTTGGAGAAGATTATAAGAGCTGCAGAACTGAACCGCTCAGGAAGAATTTACTACAAGAGCGTGCATAAAAAACCGCGAAATCTGTTCTGCCTAGGGATGCCCAATATTCACCGATATTCGATTTTATCGATGATAAGACGTAAAATATCGATGCTTTATAATCGATTGCGGACTATGTAGAACATCGGCACATCGATACCCTGCACACATAATCGAAGTGTCGATGATTCGAGATATTGACTTAATACATACATACATACATATGTAGTAAACTCCTGCGCAATTCCATTTAAAGGGCCTAACAAGACATCCGATCGCCGCGCAAATACTTTCCCTCCTTTACTCTCATCGTTCGGGTCAAATGTGAGTAAGCATAAACCAGTTTCTGCAAGCGTACGTAAACTACCGATCAATAGCAAGACGAGTAGAGTATTTACTTTGCCTTCCGCAACTACTGCGAGTAAAAGGTATTTGACAGTAGTGTATTCTACTGGTAGTACTTGAGTATTTTCGAAGAAAACATATATTTGTGGCAATAATGATAGAAGAATTTTCTGGATCGTGCATTTGTGGTATCTGAATAAAACTAAGGACAGAAATGTAGTGGAGTGATGAAGAGAGCGACGAGCAAAACGTACTTTCAACTAAAATGCTGATATACATACCTAAGTACATATGTATGTATGTGCATAGATACGTATGTGCATCAGGGATGCCGTTTGGATCTAAATAGATCCAATTGGATACATTTTTAGACGAATTTTTGCGGGATACTTATTTTTTCCGGTCAGTATAAATGTGGATACTTTTTTAAATAGTGTAGTGTGTAGTATGCAGTGTGACTTGTAAAGAACAAACAAGTCGAAGCAAACTAACCCAAATCATTTCACAATTCAAGTCGCACTAATAAATATCAAATATCATTATCAAAAGACATTGATGGCATTCTTTGTCACTTCACTGTCATTACCACTTAAACCATTTCACTTTCAATGCCAAGACCACCCAATGCCTACTTGCCGACAAAGCACTCTTTGTCATCAACGGCATGGTCACCGCCGTAAAAAAATAATTTTAAAAATTAAAAAGAGGCTTCATTTTGAGCCTATACTCAAAAAAAAAACAAAAAAAAAGAGAAATTTCCAAAAAATTATAAAAATCCAAAAAATGAAATTTCAATAAAAATTCAATTAAAATCCTGAAAAGTGTGCTTCAAATAAGAGCACCTAAAACCAAAGTCCTGACGGGACAGCCAAAGCGTCCGTCAGTTGCGATGACAGGAAGGAAGCCCGGTCCCCAGCCATTGACCATTGAGGAGTACCGGAGGCGACAGAAAAACCAAAAACCAAAGAAGGAAGAAATAATAATCCCACCAGTAGCAAGAAGGAAGAGGCGTGGAGGCTACACGCAAAAACTAAAGAGGGAAAAAGCCATCCTCCAACGTGAGCTGAACACAGAACCAGCACCACGCTTGGGAAGATCGTGCCAAATCTGGGAACGCATAGATGAAATAACGTTCCTCATCAAACAATTCCTGGACGCCAGACCAGGACGGACAACACAATAAGAGAAAAAAACCCATAGATGGTATTAATGAAGAGCTCCCTATTCGCACTCATAGGGCCAGTAAGCGATAATCGCTCGGGGCAACTAATTTTTAAGAAAAACAAATTGAAATTGTAAATAAATAATAAGCAAATGAATTGAAAAAAAAATAATAAAAATAAAAAAAAATTCTTTTAAAGAAAAAAATCTTATCTTAAAATCAAAAAAAAATGTAATTTAAAAATAAAATTTCACTTAAATGAAAATTTTTTCACTAACGAAAAAAAAATATAAATTTTTAATTAAAATTGATTTAAGTTAAAATTTTTTTTGAACTTAACAAAATTTTTTTTAAGAATGGGCAATACCGACTCAAAATTAGAAAAGCCCAACGCTAACGTAATAAATGAAGTAGAAGTAACAGAAGAAAAAATTAATATAGAAACAATAGAAATATGTATAGTCATAATTACGATTGTAAGCGTTATAAACTTAGCACTACATGTATACGCTATGCACAATAAAAAATTAAAAAAGAAATATCTAAGTATGGCAAACCAACTAGATAAGGTATAAATAGGAAAGAAAACTCCTCTTAATATTAATAAAAAAAGAAAAAAAAAATAAAAAAATTTTGAAAGAATAAGAACCAGAAACTAGATTCACTTAATAATTTTATGTCCATGGATAAATGGGAAACAATAATAAAATCCATAGAAACTAATGCAGTAATAATAAAAAAATCTTATAAATGCATTACACAAAACCGTAGCATAGGGCAAGACACAATCAGAAAACATTTAGGCATTATAATAAGTTCAATAGAAGATGTTAGAAAGACAGTAGCAATAAATAAAAACAGATTTACACAAACACATAAGAACCAAGCATTAAAAATATTTTGGGAACTCAGGGATTTATTAGTTAAAGCCCTTAACCGTCATAATATTCAGCAAGAAGTTCCACACACTATTGAAGAACCAATACAAATTGATATCAATATCCTTATAACACCTAATATACAACAACTTATGATAGAAGATAATATTACTGAAGAGGAAGGACTGGAAGAAATCAACATGGCACAGACAAATATAGAATTTATAAATACTGCCACCAGGTTGATTCCTGAATTCGATGGAAAGCCAGAAAATCTAAGATCATTCTTAGATGCACTTTCTTTAGTAGACACACTAAAAGGAAACCACGAATCAGTAGCCGTTAGTTTAATAAAAACTAAACTAAAAGGCAATAGCAGAAACCTCTTAGACAGTGAGCCGACAATTCAGTCTATCATAGCAAAACTAACAGCATGTGTAAAAGGCGAAACCATTGAAGTAATATCGGCAAAAAATTTTAACATTAGACAAAGTGGTAAATCCGCTAATACTTACTGCAATGAGATAGAAACACTGACCAAATCCTTAGAAAGCGCATACATCGCTGACGGCATACCCTGTAGTCAAGCCACCAAATACTCAACCCAAGTAGCAGTAAAAGCAATGACCAAAAATTGCACCATAGATAGAGTAAAACTCATCATGGAGGCAGGTCAATTCAACTCCATGAACGAAGCAATAGGAAAGTTTGTCGGAAGTTGCACCGAAGCAACTGGACAACACAACACTATCCTACACTTCGGAAGATCAAATAAACCCTACCATGGAAACAGAGGAAATGGTAGAGAAAGCTACAGAGGTGGTAACAGAGGAAACTACAGAGGAGGAAATCGACAAAACAACAGAAGATACAATAACAATAATGGTAATAGAGATAACAACTCCAACTATCGTGGAAACCGTAACCGAAACAATTATAACCGACAAGAAAATGGTCGAACTAATAATGTTAGAATAGCTAACAATAACCAAGAACATTCGGAAAACTCTCACAGTCCCCTAAGATCAAGTCAATAGAAAGAAAAGTGTATAATCTTAATCTTAACTTGAGCATTTTTATAAAAGTCCAATTAAATGACACTAACAATACAATAATATTATTAATAGACACAGGAGCAGATATTTCACTAATAAAAACTGCACACTTTAAACAAGATCAAATAAACACACAAATCATTACATCATTAAGTGGAATAGGACAAGGTAAAATAAAATCAATAGGAACTACACACTTCGATCTGAAGTACAAAAATTTCTTAGTTCCGCACACCTTTCACGTTGTGCACGATGATTTCCCAATACCTTGTGATGGAATCATCGGTATGGATTTTATCAGAAAATACAATTGTATTCTAGATTTCAACGAAGATTTTGATTACTTTGTACTACGTCCACCTAACTTTCACCAACACATAGAAATACCAATAGCAAATACATGCAATGAATACTTAACCTTGCCAGCAAGATCAGAAGTAATACGCCAAATAAAAATTAAAAGTACAAGTCAAGATATACTTGTACCAAAACAGGAAATTCATCCAGGTGTATTTATAGCTAGCACTCTTGTAAGAGCAAATAAAGCATTCATTCGCATTCTAAATACAAATTTTCACACAGCAAAATTTGAGGAATCAAAAATCATAACCGAACAAATTAATGATTATGAAATTGTCACAAATAACCAAGTTAATAATAACAGTAGAAAAACAGAAATCTTAACCATATTAAATAAACAATTTCCAAGTCAATTTAAAAATACCTTAACAAACCTTTGTTCAAAATTCACTGATATTTTTGGTTTAGAAACTGAACCGATAACAACTAATAATTTCTATAGCCAAAAATTGCAAGTTAAAGATAATACACCCGTATATATTAAGAACTATAGAGTACCGCATACTCACAAAGATGAGATTGACAATCAAGTGAAAAAATTGATAGACGATGGAATAGTCGAACCATCACACTCCGAGTACAACAGTCCAATCTTACTAGTACCAAAGAAGCCACTACCAGGCTCTAAAGAAAAAAGATGGAGACTAGTAATAGATTACAGACAACTGAATAAAAAACTCGTCGCAGACAAGTTTCCACTGCCAAGAATAGACGACATCCTAGATCAACTTGGCAGAGCAAAATATTTCTCTTGCTTAGATTTAATGTCTGGATTCCACCAAATAGAACTGGAAGATAAATCTAGAAATCTTACGTCATTTTCAACGTACAATGGATCATATAGATTCACTAGACTTCCATATGGACTAAAAATAGCACCTAACTCATTCCAAAGAATGATGACATTTGCTTTCAGTGGTTTAAAACCAGATCAAGCTTTCTTATATATGGACGATTTAGTCGTATTAGGATGCTCTGAGAAGCACATGCTTTCAAATTTAACTAATGTCTTTGAATTATGTAGAAAACACAATCTCAAACTACACCCCGAAAAATGTTCATTTTTTAAAACGGAAGTAACATATCTAGGACATAAGTGTACTGATAAAGGGATACTACCAGACGATAGTAAATATTCAGTAATCAAGAATTATCCACAACCTACTGACGCAGATGGCGCACGAAGATTCGTAGCCTTTTGCAATTACTATCGAAGGTTTATCAAAAACTTTTCGCACCATTCTAGACACATTACGAGACTAAAAAAAAAAAATGTACAGTTCGAATGGACTGAAGATTGTGAAAAAGCATTTAATTATTTGAAGAAAGCATTAATAAGCCCAACATTACTGCAATACCCTGACTTCGGGAAAGAGTTTTGTATAACTACAGACGCAAGCAAGTATGCTTGTGGGGCAGTTTTAACTCAAGAGCACGAAGGAAAACACCTACCAGTTGCATATGCATCCAAATCCTTCACAAAAGGAGAAAGCAATAAATCCACCATTGAACAAGAATTAACAGCAATTCACTGGGCTATTACACACTTTAGGCCATACATATACGGTAAACAATTTCTTGTCCGTACGGATCACAGACCACTAACATACTTATTTTCAATGAGAAATCCTAGTTCTAAATTGACTAGAATGAGACTTGATCTAGAGGAATATGAATTCACAGTTGAATATCTTAGGGGCAAAGATAATTATATCGCGGATGCTTTATCGCGAATAACAATAGACAATCTAAAAGAAATGACTGAGTCAGTAGCTAAAGTACTCAGAATAACAACACGTTCAATGACACATAAAAAAGACACAGCATGCACAGGTAGTAAATTAAATAAGCATCATCAAATATATAATAAGCCCAATATATACGTTCCTTTAAATAACACTGACGTCAGGAAATATTGTAAATTAAAGATTACCCCTGAAAGATGTTACATCAAAAGAGGTAAATCGATAATTGCGTATATATATATCAATGATTTATTTACTAATGAGAAATTTGACTTAGGTCAATTTTTCTCAAGGCTCGATGAAGTGGCCGGTAAATACAAAATTGATAGACTACAATTGGCACCAAACGAGAAGATTTTCGAATTTATCTCGATTATTGATTTTAAAAAAAAGGGCAATGAAATATTAAATCAAGTAAAAGTAGCGCTACTGAACAAGGTGATCCAAATTGATGACAATGCTAAAATTAAAAATATCTTAAAAAGATATCATGATGACCCAATTGAAGGAGGTCACTGCGGAATTTATAGAACCACCGAAAAAATAAAAAAATACTACTATTGGAAAAACATGACTAAAGATATTAAAAAATACGTAAAGTCATGCCATAAGTGTCAAACTACAAAAACATTAAAACACCTGAAAAATCCAATGACTATTACAAAGACACCGGTACAAGCTTTCGATACGGTATTCGTTGATACCATCGGTCCATTTCCAAAATCGATTAACGGAAATGAATATGCAATCACTATAATATGTGACTTGACAAAGTACCTAGTAACAATACCTATACAAGACAAATACGCAAAAACAATCGCAAAAGCTATATTTGAACATTTTATTCTCGTTTATGGTCCAATGAAGACGTTCATTTCGGACATGGGAACAGGATACAAAAATGCGATACTTACGGAATTATGTGAATTGCTCAAAATAGAAAAAATAACTTCTACAGCACATCATCACCAAACCCTCGGTACTATAGAAAGGAGTCACAGAACATTCAATGAATATGTTCGCTCCTACATATCAATAGATAAAACCGACTGGGATGAATGGCTTAAATATTTCACATACTGTTTCAACACGACACCATCAACAGTACATAACTACTGCCCATATGAATTAATATTTGCTAAAATACCTAATAGTTTCGAACAATTTAGAGAGATAGATAGAATTACCCCATTATATAATGTAGATGATTACGCTAAGGAAGCTAAATTTAGATTAGAAGTAGCTAGTGTAAGGGCCCAACACTTAATAAATAAACAAAAAGAAAAACAAAAATTAGCTTATGATAGAAATACTATACCCTATAATTTTAAAATAGGAGATTTAGTTTTATTAAAAAATGAATCAGGACATAAGTTAGAACCTCAGTATAAAGGTCCATTTACCATAAGAGATATACTTTTAAGAGGAAATGTACAAATAATAGACAATAAAACCAATAAAAACCAAATAGTTCATAAGAATAGACTTAAAAAGTACAATAATTAAAGAAATAATAATAAAAGGAAAAACAAGAAAACAAAAAGAAACTGATAAAAGTCAAAAACAATATTGTAAAAGAATGTCCATAAAACTACAGTCATATGAACATTCTTATTAAAAAGGGAGGTGTAGCGTGTGGTATGCAGTGTGACTTTTAAAGAACAAACAAGTCGAAGCAAACTAACCCAAATCATTTCACAATTCAACTCGCACAAATAAATATCAAATATCATTATCAAAAGACCTTGATGGCATTCTTTGTCACTTCAGTTCATTACCACTTAAACCATTTCACTTTCAATGCCTAATTTCCGACAAAGCAGTTTTTGTCATCAACGGCATGGTCATCGATTTTCATTAAAGATGGTAGAAAGCATTACGTTTTCTGAACGTATAAAGAATTGCTAAAATTACTTTAATTAGCTTAAAAGGATGCTTTAAGCAAGATCTTAATATACATATCGTCCTTTAAAGTACGTATCAAAAAATGCAAAACCGCGTATGTTACGTTGCATAAATTATTTTCTAGAGAGTAAAAACACTTATATTCCAAAATGGTTCTCTTTTTTTCTAAAGCAATCGCATTTCTGGCTAGTATATTTTAGGACGAATGGATAAGGATTGAGCCAAGAGCTTGTGTGAGCAAATCCAATTTTTTGCAGCAAATGTCAGTTACGCGGTTTTGCAGAATGACGATACGCGGTTTTGTACTTTAAACGACGATATACATATATAAAGTAAATTATACTGTTTCTGTAGTAATCTTTTTCTTATCACATATTTTCATTTGTTAATTTAAAAAGAAAGGAGATTTTAATGTAGTTTAAAAAACTAAATTTGATTTAATTGATGAGAGTTTTATGAATTTCACTGAAAAGACTTCAAATACTCTCTAAAAAAATTACATACATACCAAATTTGTCGCAAGAGCAAAATTACACATAAAATGTTTAAAATAAAATAATGTTTATTATTAGTAGGAAATGAGTAGTCCACTTGTAAACAGCGTTATGTGATTTTATAATAGAAAGCCATAAATTTGAAAGAGCGACTACGACAACAAGTAACATTTAAATTTAATCTTTTTTATTATTACCTGAAAATTTGGATAAATTGGAGCCTTATAAAATTGTAACATAACATAACATGTCATAAGATAACACTAACAGTCTATACGACCTAAAGCAGCTTTCTAAGTTCATCAGAAGATTGATATTTTTGAAAGTTCTTAAATAAGTACGATAGCGACTTTCGGAAGAAGACTTAACATTTGATGCAATTTTTTTCAGAATATAAAAAGATTTTGCACTCTGTTGTT